TCCGACGCTTCTCTTCGCGCATCCCGCCCCGGGGCTGGGAGGGTGAGCGCCGCCGCGCTCCCAGAGAGGGGCCGCCAACTTTTCTTTGGTGGTGGAATGCCAGAGCCCCGTCGGCACGCGCGCCGTCTGCCTCCCCCTCACCCCGAGGCTTACCTGGCAGGAAAACTGAAGCACGCAAAAGACAAGGAAAGTCAGCGTGGACCGTCCTCCCATGTTGGCAGGGCTGGTGCAGCGGGGGGAGAGGTCTGGGCTTCTTCCTTTCTTGCCCCCTGCTTTCCTTTCCAAAGGAGGAAACAGCAAACCAAGGCGAGCTTCTGTCAAGTCGAGGGCTCCGGACGGTTCTCCGCTCCGAGCCTGGCCGGAGGGGGATTAGAACGAAGATTTATTCGTTTGGAGTCTCTCTCTCTCTTTCTACCCCCGCGACCCCCCTCGTCGATGCGTTTCAGATACGCCCTTTAGTTGACTGACAGATCTTGTTTTAAAGATGAATTAGGCGCAAGGGAAGAACTACCCTCCTCTTGGCTTCCCGTTCCAGATTCAGTTCTTGGCGCTTTGGTTTTTCTTGTTCCAACCAAAGCAAAGGAGAGAAAAGCCACTTAATTCCCAGGGACGAAGAAAAGGCTTCCCAAAGCAGATTAAAATAATCAACGATCTGGAAATCCCCCAGGGGACGAGAAGATAATTCCCGGTGGGTTCAGGCGAAGAGTGGCGACTTTTTTTTTTTTTTCTGGCGTGCGTGTTTAGTTTTGCGGAGGGATTGGTGAGCACGCATAAGCAGCCGTTTTCAAATCCCCCAAGGTTTGCTGGTCGCCACTTTCTGGCAATGAATTCCGATCGATGTGATCCTTTTTTTTACAAAGAAATCCAAGACTTTCCCCCCCGCAAAAAAACAAGCAAAACGTTATTGCTTCGTTGGTTTCCCAAGTCGATGGCTGGCGGTGCCCGCGTTAATGTCTGCTCTCCGCTTTAGTCATGGGTGAGCTTTGCTTTCGCCTTGGAACTGCCTGCTGGATTGGGGTGAAATTTTTCCTTTTTTTTTCTTTTTCTTTTTTTTCGGTTTTTTTTTCGTTTTTTTATTTTTTGCTCGCTGGCTTGCTCTGTAGCGCTAAGGATCTGCCTGTGTTTGGGCGCCTGCCTGCCTTATATCTCGCCGGCCGCCTGCATGGCTAATGAGATGCAAATGAGCAGCCCCCCAATCTGGCTAGAGCGGTCACAAAGGAACCACTTTTCCAAGCCTTCCTCTCAATGGATCACCAAATGGTCAGTGAGCTGTAAAATGGGCAACCCTCGTCCTCTTCCCCTCCCCTCCAGCTCCCACCAAAAAAAAATAAAAAATGGGGGAGCTGATTTACATTCCTGCAAATTTGGTAACCGCAAGAATCAACCTTCCCTGCCACACGCACACACTTGCTCTTCGTCTTTCCGAACGCAGCGTCTCGCTCGCGCGTTCTCTCCGCTGAGCATGAAAAATACAGGAAAACTTAACGCTCCGAGCAACGAAAAACGCCGAGATTTGGGACGTCTTAAAAGGTGTTATGTATTAACGTGCGCACAAACAACTTTTTCTTTCCGGTTCTTTTCTTAACCATAGCCTGATGGGATGCATAAACCTACGCATTGCCCTTTCCAAACCTCTAGCTTTTTCGACGTTGTAGGATTACAGTTCCCATCACCTTGACCCTTGAAGTGATGGGAACTGTAGTACAGCGCATGTATATAGCGCAGAGGAGCCTTTTCCGCTGGGAATCAGAATCTCTTGAACTCTTTTTTTAGGTTTTATAACATCCCAGTCTGGGAGAAACAGGACAAGGGGAGGAAACGCGAATTCGGGAGACGCGGACGGAGTCAGACTCCAAAAAGTATCGGAGTACAGGCTGGTGGTTTTTCAAAGGCGCTTCAACCCTCGGCTGCTTGTGCTATGAAGTTTGGGGATCCCAGAGGCAGGGATGGGGCAGTGGCTGGGTGGAACGGTTCCAAAAAGTGCCTGCTTTCCTTTCCTGGATCCTTACGCGTAATAAACCCAGAAGACTTTCAGTTGCAAACAATCCGGGAAAGACTCTTGCGTTGTGTTAAGTTCCAAGAGGGGGAGAAGTGGGAGGGACGGGGGAAGTTTGGCTGGGTAAACAGTCTTGCTTTTTAAAGACCCCAAAAGAAGCTCTTTCAGTCCCTCGCTCCAGCCCCCCTTCCTTTCCCCTTTCCCCTGAATTCTTGGCGAACTTGCAACGTTCAAGGCCCCAACTTCGTTTCTTCTCCCCTTCTCTCCCCGTGCCTTTGGCTGTCTCTTTCTGCCTTTTTTCTTCTCCGAGCGCACTTTTTGTGTTGTGTGCGTGTGTGTGTTTAACGTGAGTTCGGTGTGGGTCGTTCGCGTGGCTGTCATTAAGGCAGTTTGTTATTATGGGAGGCCTGCATCAGTTGGCGCTTTGTGCCCTCAGCTGTATGATAATGTGGACAAGCACCTGCTCTTTGCACAATGCAACCGAGAGAAAGAGCTCCCCTCAGCGCACGCTACTGACTCTACAACAATGTGCGCCCATTTTAAAAAGAAATCCCTTTCCACGGCCTTCCTTCCCCTCCCTACCTTACCCGAAAGGAGGAAAAAAATGCGTGCCAATCTTTACCTTATTTTTTCCTTCCGCCTCCTCTTTTAACACATCTATCAACCCGGGAGCTTTTATGTTGGTTAAAGTGCACACGCGTAGAGAGATGAACGCCCTGCTATCAGAGCAAAATTTAGTAAATCTCCCTTCCTGGAAGCAAGAACGTAGAAGGAATTAAGCAACAGCAACGCCCGGAAGTTGGCGTTGATAGGGAAAGGAAAGTGGGCCTCGTTGCAAAACCCCTCCACGAGCAGGCAGGTCCAGGGCAGGCTTAACTGTCCGCGCAAATGGCATTTGAATCGCTACCGATTCCGGGGCATCTTACGTTGGTGAGCAAGAGATTTGGCTACGAAGCGCTCCCCGTAGGTACGGCCCGCTGGAAATCGTTATGGCCGCTTTATGAGATGGAACGGCCTTTCCCATGATAAAATGCGACTTTCATTGAAGCAGATGGCTTGATCACAAATTACCTTACAATGTGCGTGTTGGGCGCGCGAGGTGGGGGGGGGGAGGAGTGCAGGAAGAAAAAAAACCAATCTAAGCCACTTCATCAAATCCAATTGCTGGTGAAGGTCAATTAAAAGAAAATCACTAATTGGATATGCATTGGAGAAGACAAGTCTATCTTTCTTGGTGGCTTATCAGAAACTTGAAGTTGGATATAATAGCTGGGTTTACCCAGGATGGTATGCCATAAAATAGTTTGGTTTTCGATTATCCACATTTAGTCAACTAAGGGGTTTGGGGGGGCACACAGACTGTTAACAAACCTTGGTTTAATGCAGGGTGTCAAATAGGGCATAGAAGGTACATTTTCTGCAAAATATTGCCTCATTCTGATGAAATATCTTAACTTCTGGTTCTGCTGAGATTTGCACTGGAGGGAATAAGAAAGTGGTAGGACGGTGCTTTACAAGCAGAGGCAACGTCCAACCCATGGCTTGATCTCTGATAGGAGGCCTGGATGGGCTTTTGCCTGAATAACCTGTTGGTTGGAAGAGACAGTCTAGGCTAGAGGCCTGATGATCTGATTTTGGAAATTATGGACTTATCTTGTACCAAGCGGTCTGGGTTCGTTTAAAGGCAAACTCAGGAAGTCAACCAGGTCAGGAGACTATAAAATGGCTTTCATGTCTTCTTCACCTGCAACTGATCTCCTTAAAATGGCACAGCCAGTGATTCTTACTCCAGCCACCATGTGAATGGGCCACTGCCCACTTTTAAAAGGTCCCATATTTGAGGAAAACAGGCTGCTCCATTTCCTCCAGTAAAATAAACGATCCAAATATACCGTAGAACCAGAGTGAAGGAATGTTGCTGTTTATTGAAGTTTGCTAGGCAAATACATGGAACTAGGGTTTGTAAATGTAGCTTCATGGTTGTCTTCCCTTCTTCCAGGCAGAGAAAGATTCTTAAAAAAAAATTCCAATAACTCTGGGAAGTAAATTAGGCTGAGAATAATGATAGGTTCTCCATAGCTCAGGAATCTTAATCTGGGTGTCTTTTGAAAATTCATCTGGTTACTCTACTAACCTATACCTTACAGTAAGCTTTCTGCACACAGTGCTTTTCATGTATGTTGGCCTACAAGGATGATGGGGATTGTAGTCCAACAAAGCAAGAGCATCTGAGTGGGGAATACTGAAGAACAAGTTAAATGGCAGGCAGACTGATCAATGAGAACTAAAATGAGGGGGGAAATGCCTATGATAAAACACAAGGAAAAGTGCAGAGAAAGAAATCCAAGAGTGTAATAAATTAAACAAAAGATGCCTGGGTAAGTGCATTTCCACAGAAGCATAAATGATTCTTTGCTACGCAGGATAGCAAAGCAGCAAATTTTCAGTAACAAAAACAGCATACGTGATTGTATATATTAAAATATAGATGCTCTCTGGAGAAAATAATGTGCAGTTGCACTGCATTCTTGGCCTGATGCAACCAGTTTAGAAAAAAAAGGAATTCTTTAACTACTTGAAGTAAGTTAAAGTAGGCAGTGGGCAGCACATCCTCTTGAACCCATTGAGTGAAATTTCTTTATTTATTAAATTTGTACGCCGCCCATCTCCCCCAACGGGTGACTCTGGGCGGCTCAGTTAAAACCAAAAACCCAAGCCATTAAAAAAACAATACCATATAAATAATTAAAATTAATCAATTTGAAATCCGACTATAAAACAACCCTATGCATAAATACTAAAAAGAAAAAAAAACATTCAAGATGATGGGTGGGCAAGGTCAATTACCCCACAAGCCACTTCCACTGGTGGGAGCCCCCATCTGGCCCCTAGGCCTTCTGGCAAAGCCAGGTTTTCACGCCTTTCCTGAAGGCCATGAGAGTGGGGGCACACCACACCTCGGGAGGTAGGTTGTTCTATAGAGCGGGGGCCACCACAGAAAAGGCCCTCTTCCTAGATCCTACCAGTTGAAATTCCTTGACCAGGGCAGGCTGATATAACCAGGGCAAGACGGCTCCTCAGAAATCCAATACTATCCCATTTAGTGTTGCAGTGTGGGCAAATTTTTCCAGAGTTTGGACACATTTTAATTTTATACCACTGATTCATGCGAAGACTCATTTAAACATGGAGTATCATCTATTATTCTGTAATTAGTTCTATACATTAGAGTAAAATTATTTCTCTGTTACTCTCAATTATCTGCAGTTTTGCTAAAAGCTCAGAGGTTTTCTGGGATAGTAAATGGAAAGGGTCAGTAAGATGGTGCTTCTCAAACATCTTGGGTTCTCTATTGGTCTTTGAGGCAATTTTCAGAGAAACCACCATCAGATAGGCATATAATCTACAACAGCTAAGAAATATATTGGAAATGCCCCCAGAAAACTGGGCCAGAAGCATTTCTGTCACCAGCTGCTATCAAAAGAAAGTGGAGCTGGAATACAAAACATAAAAACCACCTCTTCTGGATTTCATTAATGCCAAAGGCATTTGTGCAGGATGTGCCCTCTGGTGCAAGAGAAACCCTCTTATCTGTTTTTCATAGACATTTGCCAGGGCTGGAGGGTGAAGAGATGCAAAGAGAAATTTGTTGTGGTGGCATCTTTTCCTGGGTCAGTTAAGTCAGGGATGTCGTAGAATAAAGGAGTGGTAGATTTAGGATCCGTGGTGATTTGATCTTGGAAGCCAGAATTTCTGGAGATTCATTTGACATTCCTGTTATGGGAAGAAGTGTGAATCAAAGTTAACGCGTGCAAGGGCTTAAAAGCCTGCTTCCCCTGGATCAACCCCTGCCCCCCCATTTTAAAAAAAAAAAAGTCTCTCCAAACCTTTTTGACCAACCTGCCTTCGCTCTCAAGGATTTGTTAAATTGACGCGGCACAGATTTCTCGATTAGGTCTGCAAAGCGGAACTGAAAGGCGTCATAAAATCCATCAGAATCCTACCCAAAGCGCTTATTCTCTTCCAACTTAATTTATGCCACGCGATTCTGTATTGAGGAAATCAAGCAGAAAGCTCTTTTTTCTTGACTCTCCCCTTCCTCTTCGCTTTGCTCCCCCCCCCTTCTTCTCAGATGCTTCTGGGCTAACGGGGAGACTGTTTAACTTAAGTGTTTCTATAGGAGGCTGTTGTAGTTTAACTCCTGCCCACCAGTAGCTGGGCTGAACAAAGAAGAGACTCGAGGTCTCTCCATTCATCCTTTCTCTGCGCTTTAATTTTCATTGATTTTGAAGACAAGGGGAGCCCTCAGGGATTCAAGCTGAAGGGGGATGACACGCCTTTAGATGCAATCCACCCCCCTGGCCAGCCATCTGCTCCTAACCAAATGGCGTTTTTTCATCCTAACTCCTGCATGTCTCTAGATTCCACTCTCACACTTTCAGCTTCAGTCTCTCTAGCTGGCTCTTCCCTGCCCCCCCCCCCCCCCCCTTTATTTACATTTTTATAAAGAAAAGATCATGTTCTAGTAGGGGGGGGGGGGCGGGGGGGGGGGGCAGGGAAGAGCCAGCTAGAAAGACTGAAGCTGAAAGTGTGAGAGTGGAATCTAGAGACATGCAGGAGTTAGGATGAAAAAACGCCATTTGGTTAGGAGCAGATGGCTGGCCAGGGGGGTGGATTGCATCTAAAGGCGTGTCATCCCCCTTCAGCTTGAATCCCTGAGGGCTCCCCTTGTCTTCAAAATCAATGAAAATTAAAGCGCAGAGAAAGGATGA